TTAATTGTTTTAAGGCTCCAAAAATGACAATTTCTGAGAGGCAAAATATCTTAAAAGATAAAGGGCACTGCTTTCGCTGTTTAAAGGCTGGTCACTGTGCAAATAAATGCAGGAGTTCTGTTAAATATGCAATTTGCCATAAAAATCACAGCGTAATTATGTGTTTAAAATTGCTTAAAAATAAAACAAATGTTAAGAAGCCTATGTTAAACAGCAATGAAAAAGAAACTAGCAAGGAAGAAAGTTCTGTAAATCTTTCTAGTATTAGCAACACACCACAAGTACTTTTGCAAACCCTGAAAGTAAAAATAATTGGAAATAATTGTACATTTTGTGTTCGAGTTTTATATGACACAGGATCGCAAAAACCATATTTAAGGAAGGATTTAATTTCTATTCTAGGCCTGATACCATCTAGACGACAGATTTTAAGCCACGCCCTTTTTGGAGGAAAACGAACACCTGAAAATGTGTATAATATCTGCAAAATTAAGCTAAGAGTTTAGACGATAATTTTACTTGTACTTTTGATATTTATGAGCAAAATACAATTTGTGATGCTGTACCTTCTGCCTTAAATGGGCCATGGATTAAAGAGCTCCAGTCTATGAATATACCATTTTATGACACTGAAGATTCATCAGGGCCTATTGATCTTTTAATTGGTGTAGATGTGGGTGGTCGACTTTTTGTGGACAGAAAAAGGGTACTTTCTAGTGGTATTGTAGCCATAGAAACTTATCTGGGCTGACATTGATCGGTAAAACATCAATGAATGCTGAAATTGAAGATACGGCGATGACGGTTGTAACAATGTTTGCGAAAGATGCCAATATTTCTGACCTTTTTTCCTTAGACATCTTAGGAATATCTGATCCAGTCGAAGTAAAATCACGAAAGGAAAAGAATTTCTCACGAAGAAATATTTTCAAGAGACTCTACGAATCAAAGATGATGGGCGGTACGAAGTTGCCTTACCATGAAAAGACGATCATTTGGCTCTCCCAACCAAGAAAGATATAACGCTAAGAAGACTTGAAGTCTCAACAAAAAAGCTGAATTCAGAAAAATTATTTGATACCTATGATGATGTCTTTAAACAATGGGCTGAATTGGAAATAATAGATGATGTCACAGATGCGCATTCACACCTTCCTGGGATCCAGAATCCAGCTAATTTGCCTTCTCGAGGATGTTCCGCTAGACAAGTGTTATCAAGCAAATGGTGGGAGGGACCCACTTGGTTATTAGAATCATCATCTAACTGGCCTGTCACAGAACAAAATATTGATGAGCATTCTATAGCTAAGGAAAAGAGAACAAAATCTGATGAGCACTCTTCTATCTGATCTCTAAGTTACTTAAACACTTGTAGCCGCAAAACTGATGAAAAGAAAAATAATGGATACAGACATTACAGATCAAGTTGGTACAATTATTATTTTTCAAGCTATGACAAAGTGATATCATCGATTACTTGGATAAAAAGATTTATCTATATGCAAATTCTTCGTGAATTATTGGCGAGTTTTCTTTCACTGAACTGACAAAATATAAAGTCAGAAAAAAGAAATTGTGGCCCCATTCAAATATAGTTGAAATGTACATATTTTGCTTTTGCTGATCAAACAGCTTTGCTTCCTGGTGCCTTCACCAATTATCCACAAGTCTTTCCTATTCATCTTCTGAGTGATGAATGTGGTAGAAATATGACTGTTTCTTTTTATGAAGAGATACAATTGCAATTTAAAAGAATATTTGAAAGGAATGGGTGTTTCTGGTCACAGAGCATTGCGACTACTTACTCAGCTTTTGAAGATTTAGTGCACTTGTTTCAAAATGATATTACTCATCAAGATTTAAAGACTGATAGTACTTTATTAGATTTCCAGTACGGAGCCTCCTCTCCTAGACTTGCAGTAACTGACTTTGGATGCTCTCTTCAAGGCCTCTATTTGGTTTAAAGCCTCCTCTCCTAGACTTGCAGTAACTGACTTTGGATGCTCTCTTCAAGGCCTCTATTTGGTTTAAAAGGTGGAAATATACCATTAATGATACCAGACGTTGTAAATTCTGAAGCAGGTCCTTTCTCAGTGATTGATTATTCGACATCAGATTTATGGACACCAGGAATGTTAGCAAATGGAATATATGCAGGAGCCAATCCTTTTCGTTCAGTAAATTCTTGTTTGAAAAATGACTCGTATGATGAAAGTGATTTTCCTTCTCTTCCATCAAAAGCACCACCAGTAATACAGAAATTGGTCAGAAGTATACTGCATAAAAACCAAGAGCGGATGACAAGTCAGGACTATCCAAAAACTAGACTTATAAATGTTTGGACTTTAATTCAGTTCTTGTATGTTTTTCCATTTAAGTTTTTCTTTAATATTTCAAATAGGTTAAGTTGTTTCCCAACAACTTAAGGCGGGAGGATGTTGGATTTCAAAACAATGTAGTTTGTATTTTGTATTTACTTTAATTTTATACTTATAATTTTACAATACTTATTACTTTTACTTTTTGGCCACTAATAATTGTTGTTAGTTTGTTTCATGAGAGAGGCAGCAAGGTAATTTATAGAATTAGGAAAATATGTTTCTGTAGTTAGTTAGGCTTATTGAAGATTAATTGTATGTTATATACCTGAGTGATGTTTTATTAAATAAATGAATACTTTAGAATATAGTAGTCTCTTTAGAGTCCATGATACGCTGGTAGTGTAATAGTTTGACGTGTAAGCGAACACCCTGTTTTAATTTCAACAATGTTTAGTGCTTATGAAGTATTACAGAGAGTCTATTCCAAAATAATATTAGCGTGATAGAGAGGATGGTTCCTCTCTATGAACAGTAACGAGCAGTATTTAAAAAACTGTCAATGACTGTTAGAACAGATTACATTAATTCACTTGCAGCCTAAACCTCCGTGTGTTATCCTTCAGCATCACATAAGTTTGTTTTAGTTTCTGGATTCAAAGTCTGTTCATGTAAGTACTCTTCACCTCCTTCTTGTGGTGTTAATATGTAAATATCTACACTGGTGTGCAAAAATTAAGGACGAAGTCGAAAAATTAGCATATCAGCTGAACGAAGAGGCAGAGCGGACAGAAAGACCAATCAGGAGATTAAGTAAGGTGATGTAGGTAGCACATGCGCAGATATGCAGGTGGGCATAATGGGGGAGTGTCTGAGTAGTATAAAGCATGTTGTCGGTGTAAGATCAGTATTTCTGGCAAAGAGATTGCACGCCGTATAGCAGTTAAAATCACACCGAGTTGCTGCCTCAGCGAGAAATGGCAAATAATCAATCTGTTAGATGACATCTGGATGCTTTTACCCGAGGTCGAATCATTGGGAAGTTGGAGGAAGGCCGCAGTGTGACAAGTGTGGCTGCAGAATTCGGAATTGCTCACAGCATCGTTTCACGACTTTGGAGACAATTTCAAACTACAGGAACAGCTATCTGGGCGTTTAGTAGTGGTCGTCCACAAGGAACCACACCCACAGATGACCAGTATATTGCCTTACAGGCCAGAAGAAACAGGCGGGAGACACATGACACAGGTGACTGGACGACCGATATCGCGTTTTACCGTGGCCAGAAGACTGCACGGTGGTGGTCTGTTTGCACAATGCCCTGTACGGTGTGTACCTCTAACGCCTGCCCATCGGAGAAGGCGTTCTCTGTGGTGCCAGGAACACCGGAATTGGAGAGACAATGAATGGGGACAAGTACTCTTTACAGATGAGAGCAGATTCAGTCTGAGTAGCGATTCTCATCGCATACTCATCTGGAGAGAGCGGGGAAGCCGCAATCATCCCTCAAACATCATTGAAAGGGACAGGTATGGAGGTGGCGGTGTTCTCGTTTGGGGAGGCATCATGCTTGGTAGTCGTACAGACCTTCACATCTTCGTCGCAGGTTCAGTCAACGGGACCCGTTATTGTAACAAGATTCTTCTTCCATATGTGCATCTTTTTAGATGCGTTATGGGTCCGCAGTTCCTCTTCATGGACGACAATGTACCATGTCATCGCACAGTAGCTGCCGAACAGCTCTTAGAGGGTGAGGATATTGAACGTATGGATTGGCCGGCACGATCTCCGGATCTCAATCCCATCGAGCATGTATGGTATTTTCTAGGCAGACGCTTGGCAGCTCGTACCTTACCACCAGTAACGATTCCGGAGCTTCGATTGGCGCTGCAAGACGAATGGACAGCAATGCCTCAACAACTCATTGACACCCTCATTCTCAGCATGGGCAGACGCTGTGAAACCTGCCTAGCCAGTCAGGGGAGATCATATTCCCTATTAAAGACCGGATGTTTCTTGCTGGACACCCATCACAGGGATGTTTCGGCCTTCAGTCTGCATGGCGCTCCATGCTACTTTTTCAATAAAGCTTCTTTTTATCCCTCTGATTTCTCTTTTAGTAAGTGTTGCTTACATTACTCATGTCCTTACGTATTGGGGATCTTACGGTATTAAATGTGTTGATTTAGAAAGCTTTTGTACAAAGTTATATTGAAAAAACCGTCTCGTCCTTAATTTTTGCCCACCAGTGTATTAAGAAGTTTAGCTCTGAGATTAGGAAGTCTTTATTTGTATATTTATTTTGAATTTACTATGTCAATATACTTCTTAGAGATATATGTAAAAAAAATGAATATTTTTGTCACTGGGATTCTGCGATTCTATGACAACACAGTTGGAGAATTTTAAACTGTATTATATAAATGAACTTGAGTTAAATATTTGCAGTTGTATTTTGATTATGCAAATTGTTCATGTGGAGAGAAAGATTAAAAATTTTTAATTCCTTAGTTTTGTGATTAATTATACGGTACCCAAAAATCACACACACCACAAAACTAGTGTGTATAATTGGGGGGGATGAAGAACTAATTATAAAGGTATTTCTAGTTTTAATTTGCTATTTATAATATTATCATTTATTTATATTTCTGTGTGTGTCTCATTATTGTATATTTTCAGGTATGTAAAAATTCTCAAAGTCATGATGATGTCAATCTGGGTCTTTTAATTGCTATTTTAATTGATGCCAGCAATGGGCCAAGGGTAAGATATTTTTTTATATGGTGGCTTCATTGTGAAATTCTGTCATTTGCTGAAAAATATCTAAAAATGGAGTAGTTCATATCTTTTTATATATTATAAAATTTTTGAAAGAAATTTCATCTTTAACTTAAATAGTAGTTACGATTAAAGCAATTGCTTATGCTAACACCTCCATTTGAAAGGAGGCATGTGAAAAAATTCTTGGTTATTTTCTGATTATCTGCCACCCCCTTCATTCAGAAAAGTGTTCACAAGGCAATGAATGCACTTTGTTGTCAAAATAGTTATGCGGCAGCTCATGATGTCAACAAAATGTATGTATGTATGTATGTATGTAGACCCAAGGTATCTATGCGAGTGTAACCCTCCAAATCTAATGTTTTTTTTATTTTAACTGATGTTTGTGTGTTTGCATGGAGTATCTATTTCTTGTAATGAATCATTATGAGACTGTGGAGTTAACCAGCTGTTGGGGGGGGGAGAACATTGTATTTTTCCTGAAATATGATGGTTTGGCCAATGATAGGAAATGCACAAGTTCACATTCCATGATACTTTAACCCTTTCCAGCGCAGTGTGATCGGTGTGAACACACCAAAAATATTCCCTCTTTAGACACTGAAATTAATCGATAAATATCACGAAAACTACACTAATGGTTACTTTTAATCTCTTTTATGAATAATATATGGCAGCACCACACAAGCAAATCATTAACATTGACCTATATTCTGTTTTTAAAGACGCTGATTTTTCAAAGAAATGTTTCAGATTTTTTTTAAATATAAAGAATATGAATGAAAAAAAAATCTTTATATTATTTTGTTGTTCATGTGCTAATCTGCCTATTCGGTATTACTTTTAATTTTTATCTTTGAAATATTGGATATAGTGAAGGCTTCAGTGTATGGTGTGATCGAACTGAACACACTGTACTGGTAGCACCTGTCATGTGGGAGTGAGTCATAGAATCTGATCGCATGCTTGAAACATGGGGGAGGCTGAGGGCGCAAATTTATTTACATATTTTTTTTATTCTTTTCTGTTTTTGGTTTTAAAGACCCAGGTGCTTAGTTTTCACTTAGCTATTTGATTTTCAGTGAGAGCAGACCTTTTTTTTCTCTTGCTTTCATCATGCGTAGTTTGCTTAGTTTTGATATCTGTAGATTTTTATTTGTATATACAGTCAAAAGTTGTTAATCCGGACTCGTCGGGACTTCGGCGATTCCGGATTATCGATTTTTCCGGATTATAGATCATCAGTTTAAATCTCGTAAGATGGCATGCAAAAATTCTAAAATTAAAAATACAAAACCGTAATTTATGAAATAAAGAACAATTATGATCTAAAGGGTATCAAAATTTGCAAAAAGAAAAAGCTTAATATTTATTTGTTTACTTTATTAAACATTTCTTTCAATGTAAGTTGTTTAAGTTTTGCTTCGTTTCATGTGATAATACTTTCTCTTTAATTCTATTAAACAGACATAATTTCTTGTTCAGTTACAAAGTTCCGCTGTTCAAGTCCTATAATTGCTGTGTCGAGAACACCGACTAATTTGTTAATCGAAATTTTTTCGTTTTCACTAACCTCTGTCACTTTCTTCGCTATCGGAAGCGAATTATAATGATGAGGAACTTGTTTTAAGTCATATCAAAGATGGAGCACATCGAGATGAAATACTAATTTGGTAAGGAATTATAAGCCAAATAAAATAAAAACATCTGCTCTGAAGATAAGGATAGTGCTGACAGATCAACTTCCAATTCATTACGCGCTCGCTGCGGTGTCCCCCCCCCCCCCCCCGAGCAGCGTGAAATTGATAAACAGATTTCGGATTTCAAAACATACTTTCGCTTTAGATCCTTTACATATTAACAAATATATATAGGAAATTCTATTTGATATAATCGAAAGTTTAAGCTTACTTTTATAAAATTGCTCTTAAAGTCTGCAAAAAATAATAAGCCGGATCCAATTCGAAAATTAAGGAACAACGCAATCATCAACATTAACTGAAATAGATAATTAGATAATTTTAGCTTATACGTCCATTATACATAAAACGCGCACGCGAAAACGTATTCTGCACTTGCGCACACTCATATGCGCAGTCGTAAAAGGTCTTACGCGCACGCGTAAACGCCTATGCGCATGTGTCAACGCAGAGCATGCGCAGAAAGTTTTTAGTTTTGAGGTCCGGATTATAGATCATTCCGAATTATGGGTGTCCAAATTAACGACTTTTGACTGTATATTTAAGAATTATTTTTTCTAGTCAATAATTGATTGTAAATATTATAGTATTTTAATTATTTTTCTTATAAATTTTAAAATTTTGTAAATGGTTCAGACAGGCCTCGGCATTGCCGAAGCAAAGAGAGTTTCCTTTTTTTTCTCCAGTTTTTTGGGGGGCTAGAGTAGCAGGCCTCCCCGTGATGCACCCTGGATTATGCTAAATCTGCTACAGAGATCAGATTCTACTGTTTTTAAATCATAGACAAAGTATTTTACTGTAATACATGCATGCTTCACAGCAATGCTCACCTATCGCAGCTCGTGCGGCTGAGTGTGTTCGCTTCGGACACCCCCCTTTAAATGGAAACGGTTTGTGCAATCTTTGTAAAATTATACCTGCATACTTTCCTAGGCTTAAATAGACTGCCTACAATTTTTTTGGTAAAATTCCAACTTTAAAAAGTAGCATGTCGGAAAGGGTTAATTCTTAAATGATTAAATTTTATGAAAATGCAATGTAAAAAAGTGCAAGCGAAGTGTCAGAATGTGGGATTGTTTAATTCTCAATTTTAAAGCAAAAACAGATTGTTAAGTGCATGCACAATGCCAAATTTTTGAAACTCTTTGATGTTTTCTTAAGCTGTTTCAAGTAGTTGTTGGGCATGAACAATAAATACATTGAGAGAACATTGCCCAAAAAAAAATTACAGTAGGATTTCTTGAAAAAGATAAGTGTTTTATTATGGATATTTTCTTGCTTTCTTAATTTCGTTGATTGATAACTCTTTTATGGAATTAGTGCAACACCATTTTAAAAATGGCTATTATTATTATTGCCTTTCATATATCAGGTTGGTAAAAAATTACTTGGCCATAAGTTGATAGTTTTTTGGGATATGAGGTGTATAGTTTTTTGGGATATGAGCTGTGCATAATCAGAAATTATGATATTCCTCCCCCCATATATAGTCTTTGTTTTGTTAAATTTTTGCCGTATTTTTAACCATAACATTGTCCATATTAATTTATCTTTCCATTTATGTTATTATTTGACCTTCTTATGCTTTGTATTGAAGCATTTTGATTCACATTTGGGTTTTGCAGTTTTCATAAATTATAGCAGAACTTGTACTCGTGTCATGCATAAATAACAATTAGTAGTAAAGTCATGTGTTGTTAAATTTTAGTTTAAAATGCTTTTAATTGCTTTAATGCTTTTGCATATAGAAAATTATTAAGCTTTTGATGTACATTCTGTTCTAAAATGTTGTTTTCTCTCTCTTTCTGTCGCTGTATTTTGAGTCCAAAGGGCTTTGTCCCTGAAGGACTATAGTTTTTGTTTTGTGATTTTGCATCAAATCACTCTGAATGTCTATTTCACTTTTCAAACTGTTGCCACCAAATATTATTGCCCTGTATAATATTTGAGGAAATTAAACACTAAAGAATCTGCATAAATGTATGTATGTTTCTCGTGTTGTGAGAAAACAACGATACCTAGAGCCATTAAATTTTGAATGATGTAATCCTACTGCGAATATGGGCATCTGGAAGCCAAAATTTGAAATTTAGAATTTATTTTATTATTGATTTCATATTTTGTAAAACTTTAATGAATTTTTGATCAACAAACTCGAGAATTTGAAAGCGAGCAATGGCAGCGTTATACAGAAAATTCATTTCTATCTCCAGCGCTTGAGACTGTGTATCGGAAACTCTAAAGATATGCTGAATTAAAAATTATTTTGCGATATTCCTCTTGAACTGAATTTTATGTTTTAAGTGCGAAGAACATGATGTTTAATTAATAAAGGTAACACACAAAATGTTAAAAAAAGTCCCTTTGGATGTATTTTCTTTTCCCTTTTTCTTTTTTTTTTTTTAAATGTGTGTGTGGGGGGGGGTATGTATGTGCTGTTTAAAATTCTTCACTTTAATTTTTCTTGATGTAGAGTTCTATTTTAGTGTTTGTATTTTTATAAGCTCATTTTGATATTTTTTCCTTCCCTACAGTATTATCGTGATTTAACTTATCTGGCCCGTGATGGTTTAAGTTTAGTTCTTAATCATTTAACTCAAATAATTCTGGACAAATTCAACAAACTACAGGAATCTTGTAGAAATCAAGTTAGTCATTTTATTTTCATAAATTTTAGTTTCTGTGTTAATATATCTGAATTTCTGTATATTTTTGTTTTCTTGATTCTCATGGAATTAAGATGTGCCTTTTTATATTTTAGCTAATTTGGCTTATAAAAGAAATGATTAAAAATTCAGTAACTGCTGTAGATGGTTTATGTTATCATCTTCTTCGACAGATTGCAGGTTTGTACTTTTCTTTTTTCATTTTATAAAATTCTTGAGAACAGGTGCATTAAATTTTTTCCAGCTAATTTATTCAGAGTAATTGCATAAATGTTGGGAATGTTAAAATAATTGGGATATGATTTATATGATGCTAAGAACATGTTGCAGTTTAAAGCATTTAATGTTTATATTAGTTTAAAAGTGCCAAAGCAAGATTTTAACTGAAGACTTCAGCATGTAAACATTTTTACAATACTTTGATGAAAAAATTAGTCTAAATTACCAATTATAAGCATATGTGTTTTATATTTTCTTTCTTTTTTTAATGCTATGAATATTTCATTATCTATCATTTTTGTTATAGACTTCTATTTTGCTCATTTATTTATGTCTGGGCATTAAAGAGTTAGATTAGGGCTTCTTAAAGTTTTTTGAGTCACGACTTCTTTTTATCATCGAGATTTTTTTCACGACCCAAGGACCCCATAATATTTATGAACATTTTGTGGAACTCCATAAGCATTGCGAAAATCTGACACGCGTGAGTGAAGCTGTCAGTTTCTTCACGTGTACTGTAATATACTATTGCAGTTTTAGGTCATTAACATTAATTTCTAATTTTAAGACATAGAGCAATGTTAAATCTTTAAATGAGTAATAGAGAAAATGACAGCGTCACGTGCAAAGTAAGTAAATTGAACGTTTATATTATAAAAAGAATGTATCGAAATGTTTTTGATTTTTCTTTGTATTGTCTTATTGTTATCTATTTTCTTTGTCTTGTCTGTATTGTCTTATCATTATCTATTTTCAAATACATTGTGTAAAAATATTTGGTAATTATAATGTAATAAGTTAAAGAAATATCAAAACTGGGGGTCGCGACCCACAGTTAAAGAAACTCTGAGTTACACGAATACTATAGATAATACTGTATTACACAAATATGTGAAATGTATATTACTTTTTGTTATGCTTCTCTGTAGTGTGGTTTTAATGCATAGCATATGTGCATGAAAAGCTAGTAGTTATAGTTTGCGTAGTATAATCATAATCATTATTCTTCTCATACAAAATCTCGCAATTAAATCACAGTTTATGCATTTTAATTATTTTTATTTAATATTAATGGGCAAATAATCACTTTTATCTCCCCTCCAAACAGGTGGAGATTTATCTGCAAAAAATGTGTGGCTAGCAGAAGCCTTACTTGATATTTTCATAGAAAACAGGTACTTTTAGTCATATAAGCATGTTTTAAAATATATTTTGTTTCAAAAAGCATAAAATGATATAAAATAATGGATTTTCAATTGTGGTTTTTCACGAATTGCTGCATTTTTGTCCCATTTTTTTGTTTTCTGCACTCATCAGTATCAAAGATAGAATTTTATTCATTTGAAACAGTTGTTACTTAAATTGTGAATGTCAAGAAGCACTAATTTTAAATAATTCAATTATTTTGAAAGGTGTTTTAAGTATTCAGTACAAGCTACCAGATTGAATTTTCATCAAATTTTTAATGTTTAACATTGGTAGTCAACATTTTAGAAAATAAAATGTTTATATTTTACGAAATGTTTTTTGAAAGAGGTAATTTAGAAATTTCACTGGAGAAAAATACAAGTTTTAGATAATTCTGTTTTTAGTGCACCATTAATTCGAACATTAGTGAATAATGATTTATTGTGAGATAGGCCATAAAATAATTATGAAGTATCATGTTTGATGTTTTGAGCAAATTTACAATATAATCAATTACAAGAAAACAGTGAGGAAAATTTGTTGAACAAATAATTGGATATAAGGAAAAAAATGGGCAGAAACAAAATACCAGTTTTAGACAGGGTGTATGATCTAGTACAGTTATCAACAGGGAAAGTCTGCAGTTTTCTCTCCTCTCTTATTGCCTTTCCCCTTCAATCAAAATTGTAATGGATGTGGCCAAAAGTTATTCAGATTGTACTAAATGCTGTAAAAATATGATGTATAACTTTACAATAAAATTAATAACAAGTGGAGGGAAATGTTTGCATATTTTTCCTATTTGTAAACAATTAATATGATATTAATTATAAGTAACTAGTTAATTGGACTAATTCTTTAATTGGACAGAATTATAAGTATATAGGGGTCAGAATGTGACAAAAATATTGATAAAAGTTTATGTATAATCTTTATTAATGGAAATATTTAATATATAGTTATAATATATTTGACCATCAGCTATATGAATCTGTTTCAAGTAAAATTTTTGTCCTTAATTCAAGTAACATGACTGTTTTTATCCGAATATGAGAGTTGTGTCATTTGGTGTATATTAGCCTAAATATTTTTTTTAATATTTTACTTTCTTTAATGATGTAAGCATCTTCTTTATGAAAAGAGCTTTATGAAAATAGGTAAATAATTATAAAAATTTAGCTAATAAATGCTATTTAAATGCAATTTTTCTTGAGCAGACATAAAAGGCTATGCCATTCAGAGGCTTAATAATGAGTTATTGCAGATGAAATAGCCAACAATGAGCAATTTTAGTTCAGGCATGCATCCGCTAACCTTTTTGATGATATGCCTGAAAACAAATACTTAATAATATGTCATTAAGTTTTCCCAATTTATCTTTCTGTACCAATGTAAAGTGTAGTATTTAATTAGGTAACTTGTCTTTTCTTTCGTATCAAAGTCATGCTTCTTAAATATTCACCTACATCATAATGTTTAAAAAAATTTATCCTAACATGTAAGGGAAGTCTTATTTTCAAGTAAATATAGTATTTAGTTGTTTAGTGTTATGGTGTATTTTGACTATGTTATGATGAGCCTGACAATTAAATTCATGCAATTAGGAGATTTCCCTTTAAAACATTAATGTTTATCTTTAAGCATTCAACATTACACATGTGTTTGTAAATGTGTTTCAGGCTTCTAAAAAAATGTATGTATAAGTATCAAAGTTACATAATTTTGTATTTTCATTAAAATTTTAATTTTTCTCTCCCTACAGAATTTGGGTAGAGAAATTTAGTTTTCTGATTGCTACTATTGTGTTCACATACCTTCGACTAATAGTGGATCACATAGGTCCTAAATATGCAACCTTAAGGCAACGAGAAGTAGATTTTTGCATTTCATTATTGAGAGAAAGGGTAAGTACATGTTGCTGTAGCTCTGTGTTACTAGTTTGCTGGCAGTTATTAAATACAAATTTGGTCAAAATTTATTTGCTCTTTAAAATTTACTTGATCTGGTTAAAAGAAAGCTGCATATCAATTGATTAAGTTACTTTAAAAAACATTTGAGACTCAGTGTAAGTATGGACTACTAATCCTTTTATTGTTGAAAATATGTTATAGTTTTAAGTTATATTCGCTGTTAAATTTTGTGTTCTAAAATCTCAAAAACTTTACTGACATCTTCAATTCATTGAATAAGTAGACATGACCTAGAACTGTGTCAGGAAAGCAGAGTGGTTGTTAGGCCATTAAATTCTGTATTTTGCCAAAATGTTCTCATTGGAATTGGGTTTTTGTATTGGGATATTGTAAGGAACTGCTAATACAGCATCTTTGATTCTTGCAGCACAGCATGTTATATAAGCAATATGTGCCCGACCGAGATAGTGGTTAGTGACTCTGACTGCCCGGGTTTGAATCCCGGCGAAGGTGTGGATGTTTGTAAATGTGTCTGTGGAGCGTGGGGGGCACTCTAAATATACTAAGTCCTCTCGAGAGTTTGGTGGTGGAAGACTGTCAGACCTATCCCCGCTGGGGTGCTCTCTATCAAAATTGCGGATGGAAATGCTCTTGCCAACAACAGGTGCAATCTTGTACTCCTTGCCACAATGAATTTCGGGATCTTGTTCTGATGTTACTGTCAGGCAAGTGAAATAATAACAACAATATAATCAGTAAAGATTGTATGTTTTCTGTTAGCATTGTGTACTTGTTATAAACAGCATTTTGCATATTTTAGTTTAAAATAAACAGCAGAAATTGCACTATACTATAAATTTATTTTACATTTAGTCATTTTGACTAAAAAAATAGTTTACTTTCTCCAGATAACTTTCTTTGTGATATTTAAATATTTGTTTTGTTTTTAATTATCAAGCCTGCATTTATCCTTTACATGAAACAATACAGATTTCAGTATGTATGTAGAGAATTAGGCTGCTGCCAGAATCATTTGTGTAAGGTATGACCAACGAAAGTAATTTTTCACTTTCATTGAACACTGATTAATCATTTTTGAATTCCTGTTTAAAGAAGATTTGACAGACTGTTGCTCTCAAATTTTTAAAAATTAATTCAATCTCATCTTTTGTAATATTCATAGCTTTATTCTTTACTGCTAATAATTTCTTGTTAGCAATTCTAGTTTTCTCTGTAATGATTTCAGATTGTATTTCAAGAAGCTTTTGGCTAAACTGACTTTGTGTTATCCTAAATACAAAAGTAAAACTGGAGCGAGTACAAGATACACACTTACTGATAAGAATTTAGATTGACAGCATTATCAAGCTCTGCATGTGTCCTAAGGTCTAAGATTATATTTTTTTTCCAAGTTCTAGCTATTTTGAAAAGAAAAGCATAAAGTTTATTTAGCATAATTATGTATGTATTTAACATCTTATGCAGTCAAGTCTTGGTGAAATGTCGAGTAGCTGTTTTGGTTATGTGAAACTGGATGCAACCATTGAGAAAGATGAAAACCATATTTTACTGAGCAGAATGTTCTGCATTTGTGTGATTTCCAAAAATATGCATTTTCTTTCACTGTGCAGTTGTTTTCAATACTGCCAACAGGAAGTGTAGGAAATGATTACAATAAAGTAAAATAATTAAGTCTACATTTAGCAGATATTACTTTAATATTCAGCTTTGCAGCTTATATTTTCTCAATGTACAGTTCATCTTTGAAATTATCTTTTTCTTCATTCAGATTTCAGTAATTTGCTGTAAGATATTTTATAGCTTATTTGTGATTTTACTGTGCATGTTATATGTGAATTGAAAGTGATGCCATTGGTGAAATTTTGTTTTATTGGTAAAATCTCATAATTTGGAAAAATATAAACTAATTGCTAAGCATTGTTGGGTGCTTGCATATTAATGCAACCACCTTGGTGCAGTGTGGCACTTTTTACAGATGAAAATGTAGAAGTTATTAGGTGCAACTTGATGATTTTCAGCCCTCTTTTTAGAAAGATTCCTAAACTATTTATGTTTATCATAAGTCAATAAACATAATCAATATAAGAAAACATATTTTAGTAATTTAAATTACAAATTTTAGTTATTAAATAAGGATTACCTGTTGCATTTAAAAAATAAAATACTTAAGTTGTTTTTCAAATCTTTCTGCAATTTTTTTGCACTGTCCTTCTTCCAAAGTACACCGCAATCTGTTCAGAGACTCAGCTTTGTGCAGACCTCAGCAACGATGGCTAAATAGGAATTTCCTTGTTGTCTTTTTTAGAAAATTTTCAACAAAGCTATGTATTCCTGCAGATATTTTACTGCGATTTCTTCCATTGCTGGCAGATTCCACAAGCTCATGTTTAAAAATTAAATTTAAGGTAAAAAATGTCATCTTTTGAATGAAAACTGTCAGAACTTGGAATACAACAAAAAGTAAAGCATAAAAATGGCAGAGTTGCTTGACTGAAAGATTGTTATGAGCGTGGTTGCCAGAGTTTGGCATATTCTGAAAATTTGGTGACTTTTACTTAGGTGTTGCGTTAAGTACCCATTGTTGTATTGGAAATAATTTTTATGTACAAGCTGTGAATGCAAGATAATGCTTGCATGTTTTATTGTACTTGATTAACCAGTTATAAGCAGACAGAAACAGTAAACTATCGTTATTATGTTAACAATTTGATAAAGCATTGACAGTTTGGTTGTCTGTTTCTTTCTCTTAAAAAGTGAAAGCATCAACATTTTCATGATAAATATACTGTAGGGTTTTTTGTAGGGCATTTCTGTGTGACATTTAATGTATATTGCAATTAAAAAATTTGGTGACAAGTATCATTATGAATGACGGAGTTGGTTGACTGAAATAGCAGTCGCTATATTCCTCTATATCCATAGTGGCCATTGCTTGACCACTATGAATATAGTGGAATCTCAGATCATGAACACCTCACTTCATGCAAAATTATGTGAACAAAGAAACACCTCGGAGAATGAATGGCGTGTTAAGTTACGATCATTAAGTTAGCGACATATGCTTTTGAGAAGTATTTGGAGGTAACCTCTGCTACATATTAACATTCAAGGACTCCTGGAAACATCATTTTAATATTTTCCATTGCTGAACTGTCATTAACAAAACCTTGCAGCAAGTAATTTGCAGAATCATGAACTCAGTCTGAAGGAAATAATTGCCTGGAGGAATTATCTGAGGAATTGTCTGGAGGAAATAATTGGGTTGCAGGAGGAGACTTTGATCATGTAGCACTTTTTTATCAGCTTTGATATTGTGTCTCAAGGCAAAATTATGAGCTAGGAAGTTAAAATTAGAGCATGGGAAAGATATTATGCAGCCATGAAAATAAACAAGAAAGAACTACTACAATTTCATAAACATTAAGAAAAGGTGATTGCGGAGGAAAAATCTAATTCTCTAATCCACAAAAATTTTGCATAGTAGGATAAAGTACAAAGTTTTCACTTAAGAGTATCATCTGATTCTACAGTATAAGCATTACAATGAGAATGCCAGGTTTTATTTTGGAAACATTTTAAATCATATGTAAGAACAAATCATGATAAATTTTGAGGGAAACAGAAAGCCAGCGAGTCTCAAGATGAGTCGAGTGGCACTTGGAGATAATGTAAAGACAAATGATGCCTTGAAAGACAATAACCTGATATTTTTTGGAAGAGAACTTCACATCTAATCAATAACTTCTTCCTCATCATTTTCCCACTCATGACATCTATTTTTCTTTGTACAAGTCTAGTTTAATTATGTTTTTATCTGTTATATCTGTTTAATGTTGTGCTTATCTTTTTTATTTTATATTTAATGATTACCTGAGTTTTGGCTTATGAATTTGCCCACAAGATGCTGTCATAGTTTAAATCAGGGGTTCTCACCTTTTATACCTCATGCATCCATCCTTTTTACCACTGCTAGTTTATTTCCTGAATCGTTTCCAAAACTTGAAAAATGCATGCAGATTTATTTAGATTAGTTTTAACAGGTTTTTATTAATCAAACAACAAAAAGTATAAAAAATAATGATAAATACCAAAACTTGAATAAAATTAGTTTTTTTATGTTGATAAACTAAAACTAAATTCTGAACAGCTAAGTAAAATTTTGACTGCATTCACCCCTCAAACTATGAAATCTTCCCTCTAGTTGAGAACCCCTGGTTTAAGTAAACAATTACCTGTGGTCCAGGCATGAGCTAATCCATTTTACATTAATTCCTGTTTGGAAAATTATTTGTTTAGTAACATTTCTATTACATAATTAATCAACTACTGTTGATCGAAATTGTCAGAATCCTCTGACATATGCAGGTTCTATTTATATTGATTTAAAAAACAAGAAAATTCATTTACCTGTTCTGATGCATTGTTGAATCTGACGTGATGTTTCAGCTGGCAATCTTCTTTACAGAAAAACCACAATTTAATTTTCTTGACTCATATTTTATTTACATAAAACATTCAAAAGGAAAAAATTAAGATTTAAATACATTTTCTTGTACAGCCTCTCTTTTTCTTTTATGGTTGTACGAAACAATTTATCCGTCCATCACACGGATTCGAAAATGAACTATCCGCTCTTTACAAAAAGAATAATAAAAACAAAGTTTTTATTTCTCTCACTAATGGAACCTCTAGCGCCATCTAGCGAAAGACATTTTATATGAACATTTAACATACTCCCACCTTTAATTTATGGTGGAAGCCTGAAATTAAACATTAAAATTAAATTTACATCATTACTGAAAAATAATAGAATGAAATAAAACTAATATCTATGAAAATTTTAAGCCAAAAAAAAAGTTAAAGTTCTAAAATTGAGTTGTGAAAAGTGTTCATACAGTTCATCAGCTGGATTACTGGGTCATCGTTCTTAGATATCTCCAATTGGCAAAGTTTATGAATCGGTCGTACAAAAG